AGAAAATGGAAGAAAATGGGAGAAAATGGGAAAACACGGGAGAAAATGGAAGAAAATGGGAGAAAATGGGAAAACGCGGGAGAAAATGGAAGAAAATGGGAGAAAATGGGAAAACACGGGAGAAAATGGAAGAAAATGGGAGAACATGGGAGAAGATGGGAAAAATCGGGAGAAAATGGGAGAAAAGGGGAGAACACGGGAGAAAAGGGGAGAACACAGGAGGAAACGGGAGAAAACGGCGGGATACAGGAGTTTAATCCCAGATTTTCCCCCCTCTTACCATCCGAGGGCGTGAGGAGGATGAGGACTCCCTGATCCTGCAAATATTTGATGATTGCCTGGAAGAGACGCAGGAAAAAAGTTGGAGCAGCCCCTCTTTTTTCCCCCCTCCTTGGCAGCGCTGGCGATGCCACCCCAGTGACAGGGACACCTTTTCCTGTGCCACTCGTGCCCCAAAAGGGTTCACCTCCTTCATCCCCTTATTATCCAGCCCTGAAATCCCTCCCAGCTGGCTCCCTAAAAAAACAACAATAAAGATAAATATCCTCAGTCAAAGGAGCTGTAAATTCATTATTTCGGCACTGAGAAGCCATTCCCTGTGTCCTGTCCCTCCAGGCCTTGTCCCCAGTCCCTCTCCAGCTCTCCTGGAGCCCCTTTAGGCCCTGCAAGGGGCTCTCAGCTCTCCCTGGAGCCTTCTCTTCTCCAGGGGAACATTCCCAGCTCTCCCAGCCTGGCTCCAGAGCAGAGGGATCCAGTCCCAAAACCTTCTGTTCATCTTCACCTTTGGGTTGGAAGGGACCTTGAAGATCATCCAGTTCCAATCCCAGGGACACCTTCCACTATCCCAGGTTGCTCCAACCCAGCCTTGGACACTCCCAGGGATCCAGGGGCAGCCACAGCTTCTCTGGGAAATCCATTCCAGCCCCTCCCCACCCTCCCAGCCAGCAATTCCTTCCCAATATCCCACCTATTCCTGCCCTCTGGCACTGGGAAGCCATTCCCTGTGTCCTGTCCCTCCATCCCTTGTCCCCAGTCCCTCTCCAGCTCTCCTGGAGCCCCTTTAGGCCCTGGAAGGGGCTCTCAGCTCTCCCTGGAGCCTTCCCAGAGGGACAAAAAAACAGGGACATCGTGGATCTGGGAAGTGAGGAGCTGCAGCAAGGACAGATCTTCGCTGTCCCCCTTTTTCCCCCTCAGGATTTCCCCAACAGAGGATTAATCCCTAATTCAGGCACTTTTTCCCCCTCAGGGATCCCCAAACACACATTCCAGGTGGGAAGCTGCACTTCCAGGTGGCTCCTGGGCTGCTGCCAACTCCCAGTGAGGGGAAAATGTGCCCAGACAGCCCCGGATTTACGAGCCTGGATCCACGGGAAGCATGGAATGTGAGGCAGGAGCAGCAGGAAGCAAAAGCCAAACCCACTCCAGGCACAAATCCCAGGGGTTTTTTTTCCCCCTGGAGTCACCAGGAAGCAGGAGAATCCCACTGGGAATAAAAAGACCCGAGTGTGGTGGGAAAAATGTCTGATATCAGATCCTACATCCCAAGGAAAATCCAGCTGCCAGCTCAGGGGGGGTTGATTTTCCATTAACAGAGAAAGATTAAATCACGTCTGAGGATAAAATAATAATTAAAGCAGGGAAATTCCTCCTGTTTTGCATTAATTGGGAATAATTTTAACACGAGTTTCGAGAGTTCAAGCTCCACTTCCCTCCCAGAAGTCTTTTAAAACGCTTACCAAGTCCTTTTCCTTCAGGTTTTCTACCAGCTGATCCATTTTATGTTGATCCTCATCGGATATTTCCACTTCATACAGGCTGGAATAAACCCCCTGGAAGCAGACTGGGGGCAGGAGGGAGGGGATTTGGTGTTAAAATGCTGCTTTTTGGGGTGAAACTCTGAACAAAGAAGTGCTCCTGTCCCTCAGGGATGGGTGGGAACAATGGGATTTAAAAAGAACTCGTCGGGATTTCTCTCCCTCCTTCTCCAAATCCGGGGGTTTGTGCTGTTGGATATTGGATTCCCAGAATCCAAGAGGTGGATTCTCGTAGGGAGAGATGGGGTAAGGAGGGGGATTTTTGTCTCCCTGCATTTGATCCTGGTTGTGGCACCTCCAGGATGGGAGCCCAGCTCTCCAAAGGGGGCACCCCACCTTTTCCTGGCCCAGGAATGGGCTGCTTAAGGAATTGTGTTGGGAAGAGGGGTTTATCCAACCTTTTCCTGGCCCAGGAATGGGCTGGTTGAGGAGTTGTGTTGGGAAAAAGGGTTCTATCACACCAGGAGACCACATGGAATGTGGACAGGAAAACATCCCTGGCTCTCCAAACAGAGTATCCCACCTTTTCCTGTCTCAGGACTGGGTTGGTTGAGGAGTTGTGTTAGGAAGAGGGGTTTATCCCACCTTTTCCTGGCCCAGGAATGGGCTGGTTGAGGAGTTGTGTTGGGAAAAAGGGTTCTATCACACCAGGAGACCACATGGAATGTGGACAGGAAAATATTCCTGGCTTTTTAAACAGGGTCTCCCACCTTTTCCTGGCCCAGGAATGGGCTGGTTAAGGAAGTTTTGTTGGGAAGAGGGTTCTATCACACCAGGAGACCACATGGAATATGGACAGGAAAACATCCCTGAGCTGCCCTGGTATTTTTCCATGTGTTTTCTTACATTCCCTGATATTTTCCTATCTGTAATCCCTTCAGAACAGGGCCCTGACCTGACTCCCTGTGACAATTCCTGAGGCACAGCAGGAGGATCCCACTGGAAGGTTTCACGCTCACCCTCATTCCTGGTGTAATTCCTTTTCCCAAAGGCAGCTTCCGGCAGTTTTTTCCTCAGGTCTGACAATCCCATGACGTGGCTGATGTCCAGCCTGGGAGGCCTGTGGGGAAACAGTGGGATGAGCAGCAGGAAAAGCTTCCAGGATCAGGGATAGCAGGGAATGCTGGGAATCCTGTCCCTGTGGAACCGGAGGGAAGGTGCAGCTTTCCCAGCACTTGGCTGATTGGAGGCTCCTGTTGTAACCAGGATCCTTAAATCCTCAAATCACAGGTCCTGGAAGTGTCCAAGGCCAGGTTTGGAGCAGCCTGGGATGGTGGGAAGCGTCCCTGCCCATGGAAGTGGATGATCTGTGAGGTCCCTTCCCACCCAAAGCATTCCATGATCCCATATCCTCATCTGGCGCCGAGGGTTGTCCTGACAGAGACAAAAATTGGTGCAGGGACCCCCAAAAATTCCAAGGAAAGGAAGGAAAAGGCCAACTCACAGCTGGGCTGGGAGGGAGGAGCTGTAGGGGGTCCTCAGGGTGATGTTGCACAGCAGCTTTCCCTGGATGGCGAGTTCTCCCCTCCATGGGCAGTACAGTCCTACAGGAGAGAGAGAGAGGGAAAACAGCTCAGGAAAACAGCTCAGGAAAAGCAGGAGAGGGGAACAAAGTGATTAAAGCACATTTATGACACAAACCAAACCCAACCCCCAGGGATTCCTACCTTGGTGGTCGCGCTCGGGCCTGCGGGGAAAGGAAATAAAAAGATCATTTAGGAATGGGGGGGGGGGGGGGGAAAGAAAAAAAAAGGGGAAAACAGGCCACAAAAGCCAATTATTTTTTTTTGGAATGCCAGGGAGCTGCTGCTTACAGGTCTTCTTCCATGGGCACGTCCTTGGGGTCCCTGTACTGGCAGCAGAGGACGATGTAGGGACAGACCTGCCTGGGCCGCTGGGCCGGGCTGCCGCCGGACACCTCGTACACGTAGTACTGGGAAAGAGGGGGAAAAAACGCGGATGAGCAGGGTGAGGAACGAGGGGAACTCGAGGCTGGAGCCCCCAGGGGAGGGTCAGGTCTCTGCTGGAGGTACCTGGCTCTGCTCGAAGGCCTGGCAGGGGCTGGGCGCGGCCGATCCCGGCTCGCGGCTCTCGGCGACGTGGCAGTCGTAGCCCGGAGAGGGGCAGGTGTAGGTGGTGGTGTAATCCTCAGGGATCACCCGCACCTTCCCCTGGATCGGGAAAGCACCACGGAGACGTTAACACCCCCCATTCCCCACAGGAATTCACTCCGGCAGGCGCAAAGCTTCGGTTTCCCGCCAAAACGCGGCGTGAGGGGAAGCCCCGCCCGCGCTTCCCGTCGCCGTGAGGGGGCTGGGGGGGGTCGTTCCAAAAATTGGGATTATTTGGGTGTGGGAGGCAAAGCTTCACTGCTGGGGGGAGGAGATGGGAGCAGGGCGGGTTTGGAGCCAGGAATCAATGAAAAAGGGAGAAAGGGTGGGTTTGGAGCCAGGAATCCAGAGGAAAAGGGAGCAGGGTGGGATTGGAGCTAGGAATCCAGAGGAGATGGGAGCAGGGTGGGTTTGGAGCCAGGAATCCAGAGGAAAAGGGAGCACAGTGGGTTTGGAGTCAGGAATTGAGAGGAAACAGGAGCAGGGCGGGTTTGGACCCAGGAATCCAGAGGAGATGGAAGCAGGGTGGGTTTGGAGCCAGGAATCCAGAGGAGATGGGAGCAGGGAGGGTTTGGAGCCAGGAATCCAGAGGAAAAGGGAGAAAGGGTGGGTTTGGAGCCAGGAATCAGGAAGGGATGGGAGCAGGCTGGGTTTGGAACCAGGAATCACTGGAGAAGGGGGTCACACACCAGCTCCATGGAGGAATAAAATGGAGCTCTGGTCTGACCAACCTTAAGGATTCCCCCTCAACCCCCCAAAATGCAGGAGAATCCGGGGAATATGTGACTCTGTGGGATCCGATTTCACCCCCTCCCCCAGTTATGGGCACCACAAGTCTTTTTAAAACCCGTTTGTGCTCTTAAGTGGCCTCTGAAAACCACTCCACACACACAAAAAAACTCAAAAAACCTTGGATTTTACCTTAATTAGCTTGCAAATGACGATATATCCCGATTTTCCATGGTGCCAGGGGCTGGGATGGAGGCAGTCTGCATGCTTGGAAATATAAACCCCTGGGAAAACAAGAGAGCAGTGCAGGATAATGTGAATCATCCAAAAAAACCCAAACACCTCTGGGAAGAATCCTCCTGGGAATGGGAATCTCTGCAGAGCCACGAAAAGGGAAAAAGATCTTTCTATTTTCCTTTTTTTTTTGTTTTGTTTTTTTGGTTTTTTTCCCTTGGGTCTTCATTCCTGATTTATATTTGTGGAGAAGTGTAGGGAATTACCTGGGGGAAACAGAGACTGGGAAAAGAGACACTGTATATAATATATAAGATATATAAAATACATAATATATATAAAATACATAATATATATAAAATATATATAAAATATATAATATATAATACATATAAAATATATATAATATATATAATATATTATATATATAAAATATATATAAAAACATATAATATATAAAATACATATTATATATAAAAATATAATATATATGAAATATATAATATATTCTATATATTATATATAGAATATATAATATATATAAAATATAAATTATATATAAAATATATAATATATAAAATACATATTATATATTTCATATATAATATATATGAAATATATAATACATAACATATATATAAAATATGTAATATATATAAAATATATAATGTATAAAATATATAATGTATAAAATATATAATGTATAATGTATATAAAACATATCATATATATAAGATATATGATATGTATAAAACATATAATATATATAATACATGTTATATATAGAAATATGTCATATATATAAAATATATAAAATATATAATATATAATGTATATAAAATATAATATATATAAAATATATAATATATATAATATTAATAACACATATATATAAAAATATCATATTTGTCCCAGGATGATATTCCCACCAGGATTAAGGTCTTTTCCCAGAGAAATCAGCCACTCTGGTGACTTCTTTTTCAGGGAAAGAAAAACCTGGAATGGCAACATTCCCTAGGGAAGATCCCACCCTCGGCTGAGGGGGCAGAGGGAAAACTGCTGCTCCATCCAATAAATTCAGCCTCTCGTGTAAGAAACGGGATTGTCCATGGATCTTGGCAGAGGTTGTGCCTCTGTTTTTCCAAGGAGTCGGAATTCCCAGAGCAGGGAACGGGGGTCTGGGTTCTCCCCATGGAATTCTCACCTTTGGCCGGGTCTCCCAGCGTGGAGATGGAGCTGCTGTTGACCCGCAGGCCCGTCCGACACACCTCCCTCGCCTTGGGAAGAGCACAAACAGCCCCTTTAACACCCATTTTCCCCAAAAAAATCAGGGATACAGAGAACAAAAGCAGCTGGAAAAAACACTTGCGAGGATAAAGGAAACAAAACAAAACGTCCACGGGAAGAAGCAACGGGGAGAAAAGAGAATTAAACTGCCCAAAGCCACCCACGGCATCGCTGAATCGTGTTAAAGGAATTCCTGCTGGATTCCCTGGGCATCCCTGAAAAACTCCTTGCACAAAATCCAAGGCATCCTGGTGAAAAACCACAGGGCAGGGATAATTTGTGGGAGGCTCTCTCTCCACTCAGAATCCAGGGAATCTGCCCCCAAAGCACCTGACACGCTCCCGTCTCCCGTCCCAGAGGGGCTTTTCCAGGAGTGCCCGACAGGTTTCATTCCCTGTTCTTGGCACAGGGCAGGGTTAGGTGGGATATTGGGAAGGAATTCTTGGCTGGGAGGGTGGGGAGGGGCTGGAATGGATTTCCCAGAGAAGCTGTGGCTGCCCCTGGATCCCTGGAAGTGTCCAAGGCCGGGTTGGAGCAACCTGGGACAGTGGGAGGTGTCCCTGCCCATGGCAGGGGGTGGGATGGGATGAGCTTTAAGGTCCCTTCCAACCCAAAGCACTCTGGGATCCTGTGATTCCATGGAGTTGGAGGCAGGGATGGCTCCAGATAATTCCTGGGGGATGCTGCTCCCAGGGATTAAAGCAAAAAACTAAACTCCAGGGAAACCTGGGAGCCCCTTGCAGGGCCTAAAGGGGCTCCAGGAGAGCTGGAGAGGGACTGGGGACAAGGCCTGGAGGGACAGGACACAGGGAATGGCTTCCCAGTGCCAGAGGGCAGGGTTAGATGGGATATTGGGAAGGAATTCCTGGCTGGGAGGGTGGGAAGGGCCTGAAATGGATTTCCCAGAGAAGTTGTGGCTGCCCCTGGATCCCTGGAAGTGTCCAAGGCCGGGTTGGAGCAACCTGGGATAGTGGGAGGTGTCGGGGGTGGAACAAGATGGGTTTTAAGGTCCCTTCCCAACCCAAATCATCCCGTGGTTCTGGGAGAAATCCACTGGGACAAAGGGAAACTCCTCCTGTCTCCCTGCAGAGGGAGCGGCCAAATCCCAAAGAGAACTGACCGGAGAGACGGAAAATAAGATCCGTCCCTAAAACCTCCTCCCGGACTATTCCCGGCGGGAATCCCAGGGCATGGAGAGCCAGGATTCCTCAGCCTCCGGTTCTGCTGGGACAGAGGGGCCACTCAGGATCAAATTCCAGCTGGACAAACATTCCCAGGTTACCTCTTCTTCCTTGTCAAAGAGGAGGAAGGCGAAGGTCTCCTGCAGCTCCTCTCGGCTGTACCCGGCGGCTTCCTTGGCTCGGGCGAAAGCTTTCAGCTGGAAAACACACGGGAAAACTTGATTCCGTGTTTTTTAGGGGACATGGAGATGGGGTCAGCCTGTCCTGAACACCCCCAGCATTCCCAGGATGCAGCCTGGATCCAGCTGGATCAGCTCCCGTGCCCACACATCTCTGTCTTCCAGGGAGAACATTCTGGGAGCAAAGAGGATCCCAGTCCATGGGTCAGGGAAGCGGTGGAAGGATGGGATTTCTGGGGGGGGTTGGAAGGTCAGGGAACAACAACCCCACCACTGCTTTTGCTTTTCTGGGGTTCAGAACTCCCAGATGACTTGAAATCCCATTTTTTTATCTGGCTCCACAGTGATTATCCCACTTTTAGGCAGCTGTTGCTTCTCCAGACTCTCACAGAAAGGATGGAAAGAGGCTTTGGACAAGGGCATGGAGTGACAGGACAAGGGGGAATGGCCTTCAGCTGGAGGAAGGCAGGGTTAGATGGGATTTTTGGGAAGGAATTCCTGGCTGGGAGGGTGGGGAGGGGCTGGAACGGATTTCCCAGAGAAGCTGTGGCTGCCCCTGGATCCCTGGAAGTGTCCAAGGCCAGGTTGGAGCAACTTGGGATAGCGGGAGGTGTCCCTGCTGTGGAGGGGTTGGAATTGGATCATCTTTAAGGTCCCTTCCAGCCCAAACCACTCCATGATTCCCAAATGCCCAAGCACTGTTTAATCCATGACAACTGGTGATTCCCAGCTCCCAGAGCAGCCTGTTTTCCAGTGGGAATACAGGGATGGAGGGATTTTAGAAGTGGGTCTGTACCCACCACAGGCAGCTGGGAAAAAAAAAGGGTTAAAACCAAAAGAAATCCCACGTGGAATTCTGCCTTTAATGCAACCCACTAAAGCTTTCCTGAGGGATATTCCCTGCTCCAGAGGCCTCCTCCAGGAACTGCCTGGAATGTGGAGCTCCAGGGGCTGAATGGACCTTTTGTTCCTGATCAAACAGGGCTGGGAAGGGAAAGAAGAGAGGAACCGGGAAAGGGGCTCTGGGAAAATCCCAGGAATCGGGATTTAGGAGCTCTGCAAATCCCAAAAAAAAGCTCCTTCTGGAGCTGCTCCTCCTCCGGCCTCACCTCGCTCAGGAAAAGCTGGTTTTCCACCAGGCTTGCTCGGCTGTACTGGAATTCCTGCCGGGATTTGGGGTGCAGGAAGGAGCCGTGCAGCGCCGACACCGCTCTCTGCAGCAGGGATTCCTCGGATTCCGCGGGAAAACCTGGAGCGGGGAAGGAAAGAAGGAGGTGAATTTATTCCCTTTGGGCATCTCTGGATCCTCAGAACCACGGATCCTTCCCCTCCAGATCCCAAATCCCAGATTTTTTGCAGGTTAAGCTGCTCCTCTGGCAGGAAGGGATCTGAACTCCCTGGAAGTTTTTCCTTTGGAACAGAAAGGGAAAAAAAAAAACCAAGGAATTAAGTCCGGAGGAAGAGCCAGAGGCAAAGTCTGGCAGGGAATTAAACTGAGCAGGGCAGAGTTTCCTCCCGTGCTGGAAGTCACTTGGATTCATGGAATGTTGTTTTTAGGGAGTCAGAGCCACACACAGGAGAATTCCAGGGTTTTGCCCTCAGTTTTTTTGGGATTGTCTGTTCTCCTGCAGAGATCTCGGGGGGGTGTGGAGGTTTTGACGCCTTTCTCACATCCCAAACCCTCTCCACACACGTTCCCAAAATAAAACACCCCACTGAAAAAAACACTTCCCACCAAAGAGAGATCCCAAAGCAACCCACAAATTAAACATGGACACAGAAACAGGGGAAAAACCTGGAATATTCCTGCTGTTGAAGCTGATAAAACCCAAAATCCAAAATCCAAACATTAAATATCACTTTAAACCCCCAGGAAACCCAGGGCTGGTTTAAAACTCTTTATTGCTGGGGGGTGATTCCTGAGATTTCCCAAATCCCAAACTCAGAGGGGGGTTTGGCTCCCACTTTTTAAAGGATTTAAGTTTTTTTTATTATTATTTTTGATCGTGTTTTTGTCTTTTCCCTCCCCTGGGTTGGAAAAGGAGAAGAGGTGGAATCGTTCCCTGCGTCCCTTGTTATTCCCCTCAAAGTGTTCAAGGGTGGAAAAATAATATGAGGAATAGGGAAAAAAACCACAAACACCAGTTAAAAATTGGATGTTTTAAACTTAAAATGGGAAAATAAGGGAATAATAATAATAATAATAATAATAATGATAAGGGAAAATGGAAGGAAAACACAAAATCCAGACGAGGCAAGAAGTGGAAGGATCTAAAAATAGCCCCAAGAAAAACAGGGATGGTGTTTTTCTCCAGGGAAACCTGGAGCATGGAAAGGAAAAGTCTTTAAAGCACCTTTGGAATGTTTTTTTGTGCCCTTTTAGATCCACTTCCCACACGTTTCCCACTTCCAGGTGGTGCCTCTGGAATCACCAGGAGGAGGAAAAAAGCCAAGAGCAAGGGTTTTCCAGCTCTTTTTTGGGATTGTTGTGGCACCTCTTCGGGCCCAAGTTTGCCCAATTTTTCTCCTCGTTTTTGCTTCGTTTCCTGCATCCTGTAAATCCCGAGGCTCTTGTAAATCCCAAGGATCTTGTAAATCCCAAGGATCTCGTAAATCCCAAGGAAGAAGCCCCAGAGTCCAGGCTCCTCCATGGAAATCATGGAATTAAAAGGCTTGGAGCAAACCATAAACCCCCTTTTTTCCCTCCTTTGCTGGAGCACCACCACCAAAACAGGGATTTTCAGGGGTAAAAGGCTTAAAAAACACCCAAAAAAACCCCTGGGAAGCTCTTGGAAAAGCCCCAATCCCAGGAATTTCGCAGGGGATCCCTCCCAACTTTTGCTCCTCTCGGCAAAACTGAAAGTCCAGAAAGGGAAAGAAAAAAAAAAAAACCAACCCCAGGGTCATTAATAATGTGCAATAAATAAAGAAAGAGGAGAGAGGAAACAATCCCAGCCCGGATTCCAGCTTCCCTGTGGGATTGAGGGGCACCCTTGGGAAGGAGAAGCCTCCCGGGAAGAGGCAGGGAAGTCTTGGCACGTCCAGGTTTTTATCTGGAGGAGCAGAAAAAAGTCCTGGATCTGAGCAGGAGGAGAAAGTGAAAGTGGCCAAGGCAGAAGGAAAAGTGAAAGTGTCCAACTCCCCCTGAGAGCAGCTTGGGAATGCTCAGGGAGGATCCTCAGGGAATGGGATGGACTTCCTGTGGGAGTGGGACAGCAGAGGCATCCCGGGATTGTGGGATGGAGACACCCACGCTGGGGGGTTATCCAGGAAATCCTTAGGGAGGGAATTCATGGCCTGGCCCGGCGATTCCCTCCCCTGATAACCAGGAATTAAATCAGGCACCTCTGGAGCTCGGAATTCCAAGGAAAGCTGATTTTCCCTCCTCGTGGCCGTGAGGGAATCGCCCTCCAAGAGCCTTGTATTCCTTGGAATTCAAGGAATTCAATCTGCTCCTTCCTCCTCCCTTTTCTGGAACCTGCTCCTCTGACCTCTCCTCCTGGACCCTGCCTGCAAATATCCCAACATTCCCTGTTCCGGGCAGATATCCACGGACCACAAATCCCTCGGGATATGCAGGTCTGTGCCCCCCTTCCCAATTTAGGGCTGGAATGGTCATGGAAACAAAAACTTCCCGATCCAGGACGTTCTTTAGGTTCATCCCTCTGTTTTGTGCCTCACCAAACACCCACTTCCGACATCATTCTAGAAGGAAAATCCATGGATTTCCAGCCACTCGTACAGAGAGTTTGCTTTTTTCCTGGCCCAGTGATTCCCTCCCTGATAACCAGGAATTAAATCAGGCACCTCTGGAGCTCGGAATTCCAAGGAAAGCTGATTTTCCCTCTGTGTGGTTGTGCAGGAATCACCCTCACAGAGCCTTTTATTCCTTGGAATTCTGTAAATCTCCTCCCTTTTCCGGACTCGGAACCTGCTCCTCTGACCTCTCCTCCTGGATCCTGCCTGCAAATATCCCAACATTCCCTGTTCCGGGCAGATATCCACGGACCACAAATCCCTCGGGATATGCAGGTCTGTGCCCCCCTTCCCAATTTAGGGCTGGAATGGTCATGGAAACAAAAACTTCCCGATCCAGGACGTTCTTTAGGCTCATCCCTTTGTTTTGTGCCTCACTTCCAGCATCAATCCAGAAGGAAAATCCATGGATTTCCAGCCACTCGTGTGGAGAGTTTGCTTTTTTTTCCCTGGGTTTTAACTTTAATATTCCAGGAGTGTTGGCTCCAAACACTCGTGTCCTGCCAAATCCTCCGAATTCCAGAGCCCAGCACTCCGGGAACGCGCTCCCAGTGCTCCCCTGGGGGCCTTCCCAGCTCCTTCTCCTCTCCAGCCCGGATTCCCTGGATTTTCCTGCCATGATCCCATCCTTAGGATGAGCTGGAATAACGGGAATCAGTGGCACTGTCAGCTCTGGCCCCACCACATCCCGCTCTGTGCCATTGGGATCGCCTTCCCAACTTCTCCAGCTCCGCTGGAATCCACCTCCCATCCCGATTCCCGGCTTTCCCTGTATGGGAACGGCCCAGGAACCCTCATCCTGGCTGATTCCAGCCTCGGGATCATCTTGGATCATCCTTCTCCAGCCGGCCCCGCTCCCTGGAGTGGTTTGTGAGCGTCGGACCGGCGGCATTCCCAACAACCAGGAGGTTTAAACGGGAATTTAACGGATATCAGGGAAAATTTCTTCCTTGTCCAGCTTGTCCAAAAAGCACTGGAAGACGTGCTGGATTCCCCATCCCTGGATTTAAAAGCCCTGTGGATGTGGCTCTTGGGGACAGGGATCCGTGGTGGCCTCGGCAGCGCCGGGAGAACGATCGGATCGGACGATCTCTGAGGGCTTTTCCAACCGGAATGATCCCATGATCCCGTTTTCCCAGCTTTTCCCTCCTGCTTTTCCCACCCCAAGGCACAGAACTCTGCCTTGACCTCGTCCTTCTGGAGCAGAGCTGGCTGAACATTCCAAGGGATAACGGCTCCGATCCAAACCCACGGCACCGGCGCCAACGCGGCCGGGATTTTCCACGGAAAACGTCGGGAATGGGACGGATGGGAGGGAAGCAGAGCAGGATTGTCCCGATGGTCCAGGCAAAACAAGGCCTCTGGTTTAAACTGGGATCATGGAGACATCCAGGGATAAGGAGTGAGTCTGCTGGCAAAGGAAAGAGGGAATTCCCACCGGGAATGCCGAAGGCCCGGGAACCAGCGGTGCTTCCCGGAGGTTTCCCCACGGGATGAGCTCAAAAAATCAGCTCTGGGAGGAATAAAAAACCCAGCCCATTCCATCCAAATATTCCTCCTTTTCCTCAGGAAGCCACGAACCCCCCCCAGGTGACAGGAGTTTCCAGGAGAAAGATGGAAAAGATGAGGCGGCTCCTGAATTAATAATTAATTAAACCCGGGAATTACGGCCCTGTTTGGGGTGGGATAAAGTTTTTTGGAAAGCTGTGTTTGATCTACCGTGTCTGGAATTCCCTCTGGGATCAGGGAATCTGGGAATGCTGAGCTTTGGTGATGCTTTTCACCCCGATCCCGGGGGGGTTTTAGGTCAGGCAGGGAATTCCTGGAATTCCTCTCATTCCATCCCACAGGGATTTCCCAATGCATCCAGTGGGTTGGGAATAAAACACAGGATTAGGTTTCCTCATGGACAGGGAAGGGGATGGAAAAAAAAAAAAAACAAACCCAACTCAGCACCAAAATAAAATCCCCAAACTGGGCAAAAACAGCATTTATGGGAAAAAAAAAAAATCAACATTTTAATTCCTTGTCTCAAAGAGAAGAATCCCAAGAAGAAATCCAAGAAGAAATCCAAGAAGAAATCCAAGAAGAAATCCAAGAAGAAATCCAAGAAGAAATCCAAGAACAAATCCAAGAACAAATCCAAGAACAAATCCAAGAACAAATCCAAGAACAAATCCAAGAAGAAACCCAAGAACAACCAGTTGGTCACTCTGGCAGGTGACCAACACAAAATTCATTAATAAATCCAGACAATTTGGGATCCCAAAAGGATTC